AAATATGTAAGCACGTATGTACCTACATGCGCATGCGCGCCAGCCAACCCACCTGTATGGACGCGCGAAGGTACGCATGTTCTTGACCCAAACCCTTGGCGACAAAGCACTTTATACTGCGCTCTGCGCAATCCCTAGACCCTAAACCATATATAACCCCATTATAGTAGTTTCCATTTTCTTTTCCATGATCCCTATAGCCTGAGACTTAAACAGGCCTGCGAGCTTAGCTCCTTGCCGCCTTTGCGACTTCCAGATTTTGCAGGCACGCAAGGACGAACACTGCGGTCTTGCCCATGCCAGATTTGGCCTGACACGCTGTGCAGCTGGGGATGGTAGCGGTAGCAGGCTCAAGCGGTAGGGTTTTGTCCAACTGCCATAGGTCTTGAGGGAAAGGGCTTTAATTTCCTGAGCGGCAAAGATTTAAAGCTCCAAAGATTGAGCATGAACGTCTGAATACAGGGCAGGCAGCGGGAGACGATGATCCTGCAAAGGCACGAGCATTCACGCTTCATGGATCTTGTACGCAAAGCGCTTACATCACTTGGCAGGACGTACGGGAGAGCGGCGAGCCAATTAATCGACTGTTCGGCACAACGGCATGCATCTCAGCAACGCAGACGCCAAGCTGCCCAAATGTGAAGGATCTTGGTGGACTGTGGGCTCCATATTGAGGGATCGCGGTACGCCACAAGATGCGACAACTTGTTGATTATGATATTCATTGCTCGTTGCCTACGATGGTAACCTGCTTGAGGACGATCTGCCAACCCCTTTCATGTGAGAGTATATGCATGGGCCCTTACGCGCGGTGTTCAAAACATGCGACTGAGGGGATGTGGGAAACGTTGGGAATATCAATGCCTAGAAAAGGACCACACAGTACATGATGCCCGAAAAGAATCGAAAGAGCCAAAGTGCAACCTCATTAGCTTCTTTGTATCAAAGCAGAAGCCTACTTAGATTTCAGTCATTGTGCCACCGAAAGCCTTTTACACTAGTGACCAATGTTGACGCATCTTTAATGAAGGGGCGACTATAAAGGAATTTCTGCCAAGACACAAAATCCTGGAGTAAATAACTTTCGTTTTGTAACAAGTTCTGAGCTTCAAAGCCTACAAACAAGTTCGATCGGCAATAACAAATCGGTGACAACAGTAAACTTCTCCGCTCCAAACATTCCTGATTGGCCATGTTTTCAATCAAGCTCCTTCGGCTTCAGAGAGCACTAATGCCTTGAGTCAACACCCTCAAACTTTGCTTATCTGGAACTATCCACAAAGATCAGAAACCAAGGATTCCTTATTACTTCGCTTACTCGAAATTCATCCAACAAAAACTCCAATGGCTACTCCTTACCAGGGCCCCTCCAGGACAATAATAAAGGGGGTGGCTACAACGAACTCAAACTGCAGCAGGTCTCATTTTCCAGAAAGCTCTTCTGCTTGCTAAGCTTAGCTTGAAATCTCATAAGACGTAGAAGTCAGAAGGCTGCAGGCTCCAGAGCATACCAGCACCATTCACTAGTGGTGGTAGTTGTCATTGTACTCATAGTCATACGACTAGTCTAGTACTACTAGTACTACTGGTACTACTACCCCTGCTACTTCGTGCTACCCTGACCCCCTGGTTCATCATTAGGACCCGCGTTTCCCAAAAAAAACGCAAAACAAGATCTGGGGGGAGGATTCACTGTTAGCAGGTTAACATCAAAAACCATACTCATCACTTGTACAACCACAACTTCTCCCTGGAGCAGCCTGGCACAGCACGTCAGTGCCTAACATTGCCTGCGGCAGGCAGGCATGCTGGACCTGACACTGCCAAGGAGTGTTTCATGCTTGGTGGTGGCTAGATAAACTCCCAAGCCCTATAGGGCCTACATAGATCCAAACCCGATGCCATACCAGGATCGATGCTTTGACCCATGATCTGCATCAGCTTCGTGGTCACAAGAGTCCCTATGGCTTGGCTTTCCCTGGAACGAGGGTTTAAACTACCTTTTAAAGTGAGAAGCCGAAGTTAAAGGTGCTTGGGGGGATCCATGGCTTCAGGTAGACCAAAGGTCTTCATAGGCTTCAGGCGGAGCAAGGCGCAGAACAATTAACTTCCTGGCCTGGAGAAGTATATTATAAGCAGAATTCCTGCAGGTGTTATAAGCACCCCGAAGCTTCAAAAGCGGTTCAGGTAAATATCTTGTGCACACCGTTCCTCACAGCTTGCTTTAGCAGTAAGCCAGCTTTGGGGGAGAAAAGGGGATGTTAACTATCTAGTCCACTTCAGCCAAAAAAGACTCGCAAGAGCAAGCATAGCAAAACGTTATTCACATCACCATGCATTTCAGCAAGTGGTGGAGACAACCTCATTCGAGGTTGTCCCCACCCAATCTGGATCCTTTGTTTGGAGGCTTGAGCCCTTCTGAATCTCAGCTTTGGTATTCTACTTCTCTCCTTGGCTGAGCCATCAACCTGATCTGCCTGTTCACCTTCACACCTCTTAAATCAGATTTTCAAACTTTAGGAGACTTTTCCAGGGAGACTTTATGTTAGGGATATTACGGTATTCTGTGAACATGACATGGCGCGGACCCCGTCTAAAAACACCTTCAGCAATCCCGAAAACACGAAATCCCATGCTTCAATCCCCATGAAACGATAAACTGCAACCCAAGTTCTAACAGCCGAACCTGTAAGCCTAAACCGTGACATCTGAACGTGGAACCCAAAAGATCCCAAAAGCTTGGTTCAGCGTAAAGCCGAACAGCAGTGAGTCTAGCCTCTGACGGGTTCTCAAAGCCGCAGTCGACGGTGGCCTTCATGTCAAGTCAGGGCGTGGCGGGCGTGGCTCTACGTCTGCAGATGCTAGGACTGAGCAACTTTATCCGATAGGAGTTCTGTGGAATAATTGCCCTGGGCTTCGAGCATATGGAGTTTAGGACAACCTCTTGCCCTTGGAACTCAAAGCCCCTCCTATTGAATGTGTACTCAGCCGCAACCTTGACAATCCCATACAATTCCCTGTTAGAGACTTCGTGCCAATGCTACTCTCACGCAAAAAAATGGTACGGGTCACCCTAACCCAGAGCACTGTTGCAGGGATCAATGCACGGCACAGCCTCACAAACGAAATGGCTGCCTCTCTTGATGAGGCATGGGTATCACATCCGGCCCGAGATGTGAGGCAACACTCGAAACCCTCCTGCGCCTGGAGTCTCGTAAGATCTAAGATCTGCTAGTTCTTGGGCTCAAGGCCCCCTCTATACCTGTGAAAGATACATATGTATATATATATATATGTATAAGAGGGCAATAGCTTCCTTCAAGCATATTCCTAACTTGACAAGTCCTTCCCAACCTCAATGTCAACCCAAGCCAGACAACCCCCCCAATGTCTGTCCTGAAGTCCTTAGTGTCAGCAACCCTTGCCTGCAGCAACTCTGGCTTCAAGAGGAAGTCTTTAAAGCCGGAGGCGGAGATTCCTCCGCCCCCTTTGGCCTGAGTCTTGACACCAGGGTGAGCTAGAGGATGTAAGGGTGCAGCAGGGCCATAGATGGAACTTACTCGGCCTGATGTGGATGTTTCTATATCTCTTTGAGAGTCGGCTAAATGTTGGAAGCAGGGGAATGTGCGTCCGTATCAAACCCAAATGCAGGGCGTAGAGCAAGGAAATATGTGCCAATGTTGTAACTGCACAGGCATAGCTCCTTCGCAACCAGGATTTAAGATCCATGAGGGCCCAGTCAGCTTCATGCTTGATGCCAGCGGAATGCGCAGTTGTTTCTGTTAGGAACTTAGGAATAACTTTCGTCCAGGCCCGCCTCACAGATCTAGCCGACACCCCAGCACCTGGTTTTCTAGGCTGTATACTGTATGAAGCGGTGATAGGCCTGTGGTTGCGCAACATGTCAACACAATCGTGCTCCGTAGCAAGGCCGCGACAAACGAAACACCAAAAAAGAGGTACTCAGTTGCGGCAGATCCTTCCTTGAATGCCTGCCAAGTTCTTCTTGGAAGCTAATTCAAGTCCTTAAGCCCGGTTTTGCTTTTCCAGGCAAGCAACAGACGGTTCAAAGACAAACCAAGTCGAAACTTCCCAGCATCTTTGTGCTGAAGGAGTGCGACGTCAGGGGGAAACTATCGTCCACAAAGATCATCAGTCCATCCGAACTGACAATTGCCAACAACCAGGAGTGCATGACGGCAATTTGGGAGACCAAATTGAACAACAGCAGGGACAGCGAGAAACAGGGGTAGCTGCGAACTTTTCTAGGTAGCATATCACGTTGCAACTCTTGCGAATCTCTTCAGTACAGTATACCAGCGATGCGCCAATTAAATTGTTTCACAGCAAAAGACGACTAAAACACCGAATTCTGAACGCTATCCAACTGTTTACCGGCCGTGGGGATTCAAACAAGGCACACATGTCAGCCTTGGGCCCTACTACCCGCGTTAAAGCTACTTAGATCCCTAGGGTCAGGCTTTCCTGCTGCGGGGGATATGAACTTGCAGGGCTCGGAATGTGACCAAGTTTCAAAACTCTTGCCCCGTAACCCCATAGCGAACCCCATAACTTCACGGAAGACTTCATTGTAACGCTTTGGATGTTCTAGGATTCTGGGGTGGAGGACCTAACGTGCTGGTTACAAACGTTGCTTACGCCGTGCATACCCCTCAAGTCAAGGATTTCCTGGAACCGTGAGCTGCCAGAGTTCCTTTGAGCATAGTCCAAGGACATTCTTTGATCATAGGGCATTAGCAAATTGAACCCCTACCTTGCCCTCGTTCTTGCAAAGCTTCGCATAACAGGATAATTATCCGGAAATTGTCGGACACTCCTCCAAAGGTATCCTTAGAGAAGTTGGCATCCACAAGGAGAGTAAAGTACGTATGTTTTTGACAAATCCCGGTTTCCTCATCAGAAACCATGAACCCTAAACTTTCCAGACCCTAGAAGCATACATATGAGGGTCGCCAAAGAAACTCCTGCTGTGGGGGCAATCACGCAGTTTGCCGGTTCATCTCACTTCGTGCTTCTGCGGGCTCCCGAGCTTCGAGCCATGCCTGCAGTACCGAACGTGCACCCAATTACATATATGGGGGTTATATAAGGGTTTTATTGGGATAATGGAAAAGAAAATGGAAACTACTATAGTATTTAGGGGTTATATAGGGGTTGTATTGGGATAATGGAAAAGAAAATGGAAACTACTATAGTATATTGGGGTTGTACATTGCGGCTTCCAAAAGGTCAGGGGTCCCTCCTTGGGGCTCCCGATAATGAGGATCCATATGTACTCTGGGGGTGTATAAGTGGACCTCCTTCTTTTTTGCAAAGCATCACATGTGGATTGGCCTCGAAGAAGCACCTACATACCTATTTATATCTATAACTCTTATGTATGAGTGTACGTACGTACGTATGTATGCATGTATGTATGTACAGATTTAATCAAGATTGCGGTATTGCAGGGCGGAGGTGCTTAAGGTAATGCAGGGGACAATTCACAACATAACTTGCAACCACAAACAGAACTTTCGACATAGAGAACTTTGCAGGAGAACTGAAAATACACCGTGAATCCGAATACAGAAGTGTAGGAATCATAATAACCATCAAGCACTTGAAGAGAATGTAGCCAACATGCCTCAACACCGAAGTCGCGCATGCTCGCCAGCGTAGTGGGATTTTTCCTGATGCCACAAGGAGCGGTCTCTGGGCTCAATCATACTGACCCCTTGATTCAAAGAGTGTAGAGTTTGGAGATTTGACGAGGGCAGGGACCTCGCCCAGAAACAATCCAATCAATGGCCCATCAAGGGCTAATGAAGCCTTATGCAGTTCTTCCTTCCTTGCCAGTGTTCAAATAAGGGTCCTCTTCTCTGAAGATAATAACAGGAGCACTTGAACACAGCTAGCTGGGTTGCTTCGCCCTCCGGGTTGGCAATGCTTGAAGAACATGAAGGTCTAGGCTATAACAAGATGCTCCACGAAATGATAGCCATGTTACGAGTGCATAAGATTTCGACAGCATCCATGGTCGAACCATGATAACGTCCGTGGTACGAGTGCATATGATTTCGAGTGCATCCATGGCCGAAATATGATGACGTCCGTTTTGCGACAGCTGATGATGGAAAACAGCTGCTTGTGCAAAAGCCCACGCAGGGCTCTTAAAGATACTATACCGATATATATATATATTAATATATATATATATATATGTGCATATGCCGAAGAAACAGACGACCGTGGTAAAGTAAACGGGAGCGCTGTCATGGATATGCCTCCAGCACTTAGGAATCTTACTGGAGAAGTGCTTGGGAAGGAGAATAGGCTTTTCCAAAGTCAAATGCATCTACTTTAAAGTCGGAGAATGAATGCCAGGGGGATGGGTTTTTTTGGGAGAAATACGCATTGCAACAATGCGTATGTACCACCCAACACGAAAGTTCTGATGGCCAGGGTGTTGTCCTTACCACAGCTGGAGTCTTATATGTACAGATGCGGTAGGTACCACAAGTGGATTTGTGATGTTGGGTCTTCTTAGGTCTAAGAAACATGTGGCCATGACAGGCTCGACAGGCAGCATAATATCAAAAGGAGTCTCAACGCCGAAAGCTTCTGAGCTCCCTCAATCTTCCGCTTCAAGGCGCATGGCTCCAGAAGCCCCATACATGAGATACCACCAAAACTTCACACTCGAAGCTAGAACATCGCAAAACGAAATGGCAGTCTTAGATTCAGGCCTGCCCACTACAGAGAGTCTCCCAGACCAAAACCCAACTTCCAGACCCTCTAGCCCAGACCCCTAAGCCCTAGATCCCCCAAACCCCTCCCAAACGATTCCTTGGAGACGACAGAAGGATAAACTATGCAACAAATGTTTGCGGAGACATAGGGCATTTTGACAAATCTCTGAGCCTTGCTCAACCCCAAACATGACCCTGCAACTACCATGCAAACACTTGAAATGTGCTCAGCGACAACGTGGCTGAAAATGCAAACTTCCTGGCTCGCAGAGCATCTGAGAAAGGAAGAGCTCCACACCCGACTTCCAACCTAGATCTCCCTCCATTTCAGCTCTTTCTTTCGATCCCTGAGCTTCTGGTCATAGACTCCCAGTTTAAATATCATGTGTTTCAAAAGAGGACAAACTAAGGAAATTGTGGGATTGCAGGATTCGTGCTCAGGGTTTCAATTGGTGTGGCATGTGCTGTAAAGGTTTCAGGAGACAGCTCGTCTAATAACATGTATCAAGAATGCAAACGGAAACTGCCTTCAAGTGCTCACTCTCTCTCTCTCTCTCTTCGGTACATGCGGGACCGGCAGCTGTGCTTGTCAGGATTAATCCCCGACACCTGCAGCCGACTGCCTTAATCTGTGATTCTTGACAAGATGGGCTGGAGAGGGGCAGAGGACCCTGCAGTCAACGGCGGTGAAGCGCTCTCTGGTGCTGGCTAAGAGAAAGACTCCTAGGTTTTGCACAAAACTGTACTGATCTCTCACGACCTAGTGAAGTGAAGAGTCCCCTGGTCTTGTATGATCATTTGCGCAGCAGATTCTGGAAATAGCCAAACACTTATTTTGTCATTTTCCTGTGGCCTTTGTCGTGTCATTTTTGTCAGTTCCGAAACAACGCCAGATTCAAAAAAATGACACCGAGAATGACACCAAATGACAAAACAACGACTCCGGAGGTAGTTCGAGAACGACAAGAAAATGACAAAACATCGCAAAACATGAGAAAACATGACAAAAACCCTGACCATGCTCCAGGAAATGGCATCCCCGGGGCCTCCCCCAGCCCGGGGAGCACGGGAGCTCGGCTTTGTCATGTTTTGTCATTTTCTGTGGAAACATATTTATTCTTGATGGAAAATGACAAGAAATGACAAAACAATGACAGCAATGACAGAAAATGACAAGGGGCGATGACAAAAAATGACCAGACAATGACAAGGAAATGATATGGCCCAACAACAATATGCAGCGAAATGGCAACAGGCAATAACAAGAACATGACAAATAGATGACAAAATATGATGATTTGGACCTTCCCAGTATCTACAGCAAAACATGATATAACCCTAGTCCGAGGTGAGTTGAAAGCAAGTCTAAGTAATGGCCCTGCATTACCTGCATGCAAGGATCTGAAAAGATTTTCGGGTTTCTCTTCAGCGTGATGTGGGGGGTGGTATTTGCGAAATTCCAGCTTACGGCTTCTCAACCTCCTTGCTACTGTTCTACCGCAACTTCAGCTTCAGTGCGCACACACGCACACACACACACACACACACACCCGACCGCGAGCGTTGTTATGGATGATTGCACCAAGATAAATGTCTCGAGTATAGCATACTACAACAAAGACGAGAATATACTCTTGCCTGCATCTCGGCCTATAGATAAAAGAATACTACCCGCCGCGCCTTGGATATCCTCCCTGGCATAATCAAAATCCTCGACGAAACCTTGCTTCGCTTGCTGCAAAAACCCTAAACGCCCACCCCCTACTTGCAGCTTATGATGGTCATAGTTACCAACAATACATTTATCTTGACCCATGCTGGGCACCTCACACGCCCCAGCCCCCGAATCGTTGGGACGTCATTGTGCTTCCTAAGCTTGTGGATTTTAGTGGCTGCAAGACTAGCGTGCTATGCAGCCAATTCTAAAACCCTTTAGAAGGAGCCGGAAATTGGAACATCAGCATGCCCCTATCCCACCCAAGACATGCAGAGGGAAAACCTAGCATAAATAGTCCCACGTTTATGTTCCTCTGTACCGTAAATCATCCACGAGCCTTGCAGGTCGTGAGGCCAATGAAGACGCGAGGGCAGAAAGCCTGATGAAGTAGGGGCTCAGCTTTTAGGGCTGCGGGCTTAGACTTAGGTTCCAAGGCTTATGGCTGAGGATTTTCAGTTTGAAGTTCAAGGTTCAGAGTTGAGGGCTTAAATTAAAGGTTGACTGTTTAGAAAGTTGACGCTCCGAGACTTGCAGGGTGGTGGTTCTACCTTAGCCGTTTTGCAGGGAGGCTGCCTAATGCAAGGTGCTGATGCTAAATCTAGAAAGACCATATGCCCATGGAGCGAAGTCTAAAGGTCATACAGCCGGGGTTCAGGTAGGGAAGACTATTGAACAGCAGAAGCTGAATTCATGGGCGGCTACCATCTTTGTCTCTGGCCACATCTCACGGTTTCGGATTCCCAGATCTGGGCTATGAGGTAGGTTTGGCATGGAGACTGTATATGCCCACCTTTGGGTGATTCCCATATATCCCGAGACCTACCTGTGCCCGGACGTAGTGGTCCTTCTCCAGATCAAGTTACATGCTGCCTGAAACAGAGCAAACACTACGCCTTGAAACCTCGACGAAACCCGAATACTGTGGGGGTGGGGGAGGTCCGAGTTGTGCGAAGTTCCCTCACCCAAGTTTTTTGTTTGTACGCCTATAGACTGTATAAGACTCTTTGACATGAATTGCCGAACACTGAAACCCGAGTTCTATTGATTTTTTACTTTAAAGGTACGACCCAAATTTGCTGGGGGGTCACCCCCATCTTGAACAGGGACCCGTTTCGGTTTGGGTCGAGCGCACAAATCAGTACCTCAAAATCGCTGCTAAAGATGGACGGATGAACGCTAAACTTGTGATGAGTGAGACTTGGCTACGTTGCGAGGCTTGGCGCGAGGATTTAGAGTACAATTGAAAAGATCTAATCAGAAAAATACTTTCCAGCAACAATCGGGTCCTGAGAGATATGCTATAAGCCGAATACATCAGACGCCTTGAATGAGGATCCCCGGGCCTCATGTAAGGTCCAGAAGCCCCAAGCATGTCTCATGTAAGCCTTATAGCTTAATGGCATCCTACATGACTCCATGATTAAGGCCATTGTCCTTGGCATGATCACTGGATCCAACCAACTGTCGCCATCTCCACGAGACATCATCCGCTCGTGGAAAATGTAGAGGTCCATCCTTGCAAAGGAGAGGTTGGGTGTGCCTGAGTGCTCGCCTACTAATTACGTATCCCCATTTTACCATAGCACATGACACATGCTTACATCTAACTGTGCCTTGTAGAACGTGTCCTCAAAGACCAAACGTCTCTTGAAAGTCCTACAGTGCATCGAGGAGAATGAGGAGCCCACCAAGTGCCAACAAAGCCCAACTTGCACGCGCAAATCCCAGCTCAAGATCAGGTTTTCAGCCCTTTGAAGCAAAGCTTGAAAACCAGAAGGAACGGCACAGTGTGTAGGAAAAATGCGGTTTTGTTTTGCAGGTTTGTTCACACAAATCTGCGAACCTTGGGGTTCGAGGCTTGACCGTTGTAGGTATACACGCGAATTAGGGCCTCTTCTTGCCGCAAGAAACCAACAGGAAACACCCAACATAAAGACCATACTCAGTTTGAGATGCACAGACATGATCTGCGAAGCGGGAGGTACTTGACTGCCTGTAATGCCTAGGACAAACAGTTCTGCGGAGGGTTGTTGAAGCATTGGAAGGGATTTGGGAGTTTGGGGGGCATGTATATATACATATATCTACATATACATATACTTACATGTATATACAGTACATCATGGACTTGGGCTCAGGGATTCTGTGCATACGCTCTAGGTTGAGTTGGGTCTCGTCATCCTTATATGCCAGTTGATTGCAGGGAAATGGGAATTATGAACCTTCCGCCAAATGACCTGAAGGATCTAAATCCTGGGCTCTATGCCAAGCATCCCGACGACAAGATCAATTGCGGAGAAGTTGTGGCCAGTGAAGTAGCAACCTTCTGTCCTGCAGCTACTTGGAGGGCTTAGAGATGTTTTAAGTCTTGGGGACATCTGATGCCTGTTGCTTTAAGCTTTGCCGTACGGAGAACAGTATGGGAATTGGCTCTATTGGAAGTGATGGACGATTATAACCTATAGCTACTTGGCGCTGTGTTTGGGCATAGTGCTTGCATGTTCATGACAGAACCTGCGACGCTCACACCTTTGAAGCGTCTTGCTACTCGAGCTTGGCTTTCATGTGACATGTGGGGTTGTTGTGCATGTCATGACCGTTTTAAGGAAACTTTGCAGCACTGTGTCTGAAAAATATTCATCTTGTATTTGACAGGTAATCAACGACAAATCGTCTGCAAGACTTGTAATGCGCCAGCACCCGAACAGTAAGTTTTCCCAGTGGTATAAACATGTGGTATATGGTGGCATGACATAGCCCCAACACCAAAAGCTGTCAAGATTACTCAGTCTTCATTTGGTTCTGGTTCCATCCTGCTCAGCACAGACTCCAGGAATGGGCCGATAATCTCGAACCATGCAGTCTTTCGCACCGGATCGATCCTTTGCTGCAAACATGAGTCACGATGGAAGCTGCTCTGCCTTTAGGACACCTAATTCGAGACCCAGCCATGTATGCACAGACATTGCATGGATGGCTTGTTTCACCACTGAGACTACTTATTCCATCATGACGCCTAGGACCTTTCTGAGTTACTAAGCTTGCACACATGGAATTGGTGAACTTGCTTCTGCAGCCAAGGTTCGATGGGTTCATGTTGGCGCTAGAACCACTTCCTTGGGAGCGTTCCCCATTTAAGACACCCTTACATTACGTTACTATTGTACTACTATTACAATGATTGCTGTGATTGCTATTCTTACTACAGCGCGACCTGGTGTTCTTCTCAACATGGGTGGGGGGGCCCTGTATAGCAACACCATCAAATGTGATCCTGCTAGCTGCGGACTGTGTTTCAAGGGGGGAAGCTACAAAGCAAATACTCTGTCAGCGCCTTAGCCTGAAGGATGGTTGCCAGAAAACAGCGTCGCACGCTTCTTGCGGCTGCTTTACAAATGAGGAGCCAATGGATATAATAAGTACAAAAAGCACATGGTTCACCATATCCGCAGAAAAGTCTGCTGTTTTGAGACGTCCGTGGCCATGCATAAGGACTGCCCGTTGGTGTGGAGAGCTGGTGGCGGTCAGATTGTCCACAGTTCCTTATTGAGTTCAGCATCAGAGTTTCGGAGTTGAGGTCTTTGGTGAGACAGGTCTTAAAAATTACATTGTGTGAGTTGATGGCCCTATGTGGAAGCCTCAGCGAACGCTGGGTTAGCAGCCAGCGTTTAGATTTCCTCGCCTTTGGGGGCTTGCTGCTAGCTGGGACTCTTCATTCAGGACGTTCTGCTCTTCTAGAAGCTCTGAAAATTGTATGTAGATTGAATCTCCCAAATTGCTTGGCATGCGCTTGCAGAATAACATGCCTTAAGAATTGGGCTGCCTCGGCCAGATTTGTCCTAAAGCTCTCAGCTTCAAGAGCAGACTTCATGTTTTATCCCAGAGCCTTCTAGAGATGCCAAAGTCCACTGAGACTTGCGCAGTGGTTCCGGGGTTAGGGTTACTGCATGTTACTACGACCCGGGAAACAGGCTGCAAGCGAAAGATTGCAAATCACAAGCCAAGTCTTCCTGCGCAGTAGAAAGCTAGCTGGTAGAACAAGGCCCGATCCTCCTGCCGGAGAACCTCTTGAAAGTTCAGGAAGCTGAGTATGTACTTGTGGGTACTATTTGTGACATGGCAAAGTTGACAAGCGCCAAAACACAAAGAAAGCAGAAAAAAGCAACCTTAAAGAACAACAGCCTGGCCTTCTGCTCCACGTCATACTTGTCCAGCAGAGCCTGGGCCACTGGAGAACTTAGCTCTGAGGGTCTCCTGTACTTCTTATGTTGAATCCCAATTAGTGCGGGGGTCCCCAATAAAGTAAGGCTTGTTGAGAAATGAGGTCAACTTCTTTCTGCCGGGAAAATTCTAGGGAAGGTCTTGTCCAAATTCAAAAAGATGTTTTCTATGATTTTGATAAGATTGTAATTGCTTTTTATAGTTGTTCAAGACCAGGCTGTTTTAAGCAAAGGCCGGACTCTGCCCTTCCTATTCTTTTGAAAGCTAGACTGCTAGACTGAGCAAATCCTTATGGATTCAGCAGAAGCCGAAAGATCCCTCTTCCTTTATTGACTTTACTAGGAGCCATAGGATCCCCGGACTTTTCATGATAGAGGCTGACCTTTGTGTTTGGGGTGGGGGGGGGGGGGCGGCACACTATTCGGGGGGCTCCAGCATTACTATCTTCTTAATTTAATAGGTCAGAGCCGGGGTCTCCCATGCCAGAGAAAGTGCGGAATCAACCGCAAAACAAACTCAGTTTCGTCAAATCTTCGAGCCAGCCCGAAAACTTGCAAACAAAAGTAATCTCTTCATAATACTATCCGAAATCGCAGCCAGGGTTTGAAGCTTACATACAGACGCATGACTTGGATGTACTTGACTCAGTGGCAGCCCCATGCTGGTAACCCCAGAAGGTTTTATCTGGACTGGCGCTTAGCAGAATGGAGGAATTAATGGAGGATTTGATCCTTAGGTTTACCGCCGATGTGACCCCCAGAGAGCTCCAAATGATAAGCTCTGACACCCAAACTTTAAGCCTAAGCAGCAGGCAAGCTTTGGGATCAGGACTCTGGCCTGCCTGCGCTATGAACCAATGAATTCAGAAAACCTCCCCTTTTCGAATATACTCACGCTTTGCCATGCATCAGTGGGAAACATCGATATTTAGTCATGAGAAGGGATAGTCCTACGTATGCCGGGCGAACCGTGCTACTTAGGCTCCTAACGAAGTCACGAAGCAAGCATGATTGCTCCGCCCTCCAGCATTGGGCTGGATGAAGGGCCTTGCATGTGGAGATTTCACAAGGTAGATCCCAAGAAACAATGATTTATTCTGCCGTACGCCCCATATAAACTGGGCGTTTCAAGAGCGAAGCTATGACAAGCTTGTGTCCGATTTATAGACAACACGGCACAGTGCTACTCATGTGCTCACGTTTATAGATTGTCAATCGGACACAGCCAAAAGAATCTCAAAAACTAAGTCTTGATGGAAAAGAATAAGAAGCATGCTAGGAGTTTTCTACAATAGTTTCCATTTGTATTGAAGTGGCTCTCAAATTAATGGGGTCCTGCTTGCAGGGGCATGGGGGTTCTTTCAGCTTGCTTCAGGTTCCACGGAGGGAGACACGTACAGCAGGAAAGCCCAAAGCCTTACCATTAGAACATCATGGGTGGCTAAAGCAGGCAGGAAATGCTGATGATGCTTATTCCTTCAGCTTTTTGGACAGACACAAAACTCACAAAAGATAGAGCGCGGTATGCTGCAGAACAGCCTAGCAGCCTCAACTTTGTTGACATCTAAAATGCAACTTACGTAGGAATCCAACCTAATGGAACAATTTGTTCGAAGGTGCAATTCTCTGCCACCAAGCCCGCGCATTGTTAACTGCATATCTAATGAAGACCGGGAATCCGTCATCTGCCGGAATCTCATTCAACGCGAAAACTGTGAGAAACCCTGTGAAGGCAATTGTAAGACAGCTGTCATGTGTTACTTCTGGCCAGCTACCCTCCTCGAGAAGCACTGGTATCTTGCCATTGGGATTGAGCTTCAGTAGCCACTCCGGCTTCTTGTTGCGAAAGGCTTCAATGTCCACAAACTCATGCCTGTGGTATTCTCACCCAAACTAGCACGGAAAGCCAGAAAGGAGGTTTAAAAGGATAATTGGAGGGATAGAGGCAGACATAGGAATGTATCACGTTTTGAGTATAAGCTGCCTGAAGCTAATTACCATGGACTTCAAAAAGGACCCATACAGACTACTATACATGTACAAGGGGGTACATGGGGCTCCATGTTGGTTTGAGGGCAGGTGTCTGTTGCTGGACAGAGCAAACGTTACTTGACCTACAGCGGAACCTGATAGGCTTTGGCCTCTTGAAAGAACCTGACGCAGTCAGGAACACCCATCCTAAACCGCGAGCTCCAGTAACGCATGATCAATTTTAGAACTGGTTGGGATTTAGCAGCACATACATAAGCAATGACCCCAAGACGAAGAGTAAATGTATGCTACACCCCGAAAACTAAAACCTGAATCTGCCTCCAGCACTTTTGAGTGCTCAAAGGCAGGATCTCTGATCCCGCCTAGGGCCAGTGTAGGAGTTTGAGAGTTTGCGGCCTAGACACACTACGACTTTGGGCAGAGCATTGGAGGGATAGAGCTGTGATAGCTCACCGAGAAGCCACAGTACGCGTGTGCTGCGGAATGCAGGGATGTGGTAGAGGTGAGTAAGCCTGGATGTTTCCAGGGGCCTTTGAAGCAACCAGACGCGTATTCCAGTTTTGGAAGGCCCTAAGTGCAAGGCGTCTAGCCCTTATCATGTGGATTGCAGACTGCACATTCATCATATTCTTTCGTCCCGAAGAAGCCGGTTGTGGAACTTCCTGAAGCTTACCTGCCGATGGCCCAGTAAACCATGAAGTGACTGATGCTACATGGCCGAAGATTGCCTCGAGGGCCTTCATCAGAATGAGGCCAGGACCACAATTAGTAAAGTTCCTGTGCATCTGCAGGGCCCCGGTATCCCTCATAATCAATCAAGTCTCCCCCGAAGCACCCCCTCATCCCCCTCCCCAAACGGATAAACCCCCCGGAACATCTACAGGTATCCCGCATGTATAGGGGTAGGGAGTGGAAAATGCTTTGCATGTGGCGTTGGAGTTGCCAATGGAGACTTTCAGATCTACTCCCACAAAACTCAAGATCTAAGACGTCTGATCAACACCCTTAGAATAATATGTTGGCCCAGGAGATTGAGAGATATTCGGAATTTCATCCTGTACTGTTGAATCGCATCCTATTTCGTTCTCTCAGCGGCTCTTATGGACTGGGCCTAGCGCTTCGGGTTGTTTTGAAACATGGGTTGACTTGAAACTTCTTAACTATAGACAACCACGACCCTAAACTCTTGATGCACAAACAACACCTCAACCCCAAACCCCTGCCCTGCATGGAGCTCAAAAGAGGACACCGAAAAGACTGCGGCCCTTGTGAAAACATGGGGCTATGCGCGGTTTCATGTATATTAGGTTAGGGAAGAGACAACCCGAGATAGGCCAGCAGCGCAGATGTTGCAGCCGTCATTTGCTGCGCCGGATCAAGAAGAGCGCTGATGACGGTTTGCACACCATGCTCCACCAATAAACAATGGGAACGGTAGGCCCCTGATTCATCGCTGTTGTTTGCATGAGGCGGGCCCGAACATCCTATTCCTTTTTCTTACCTCACTTTGACTTTGCTGTTGGTAGTTGTAGGACCATTGCACTACTTGCCATTGCTGTCATGTTTGCTGTTCAGATTTGCCATTCGTTTTCTTCAGTTATCTTACAGAAATCGACTGTTATTCAAGAATCCTAAATGCTTGAGGTTTCAGGACTTGAAAGACTTTGAACATGCAAAGGTTTTAGGGCTTACAGTTGTGGCTTTCATGCTGACAGCCTTGAGATGGTCGGCGGTGCTTGAATTCGTGCGTTTTTGATCCAACACACTTGGCTATAACTAAAGGATCTGTAGAGTAGTTTGTGCCTACAGTGATGCGTTTAACGCTGCCTCGATCGAGTGCCGGTATTACTGGGTGTGCGTCAAGCTTCCATGCGCCAGTGCATAACTGCTAAGGCCAACATGGCAAAACATAACATCCAACGTGCACCTACTGAATGATGCCTTGCTATTGATTTCCGATTCCAGGGTCCAGGATTCATTCAGCCATGAGCCAATCAGAATAACAAGTGAGGTTGGTGTGCGGCCCTACCCGCGAGGCTCCATTTGTAACGTAAACTCTGAAAAAACTCTCGTGAGCCTACTACATCCTAAATCCAAGGGTTGCAGATCAGCCTGGTGCTGTTTTTAGTCGAAGGGTAAGCTGAAAAGCTTCGCTGGTTATGGTTATAAGTTTGTATACCAACCTCTGACAAACAAATCAGGCATATTCACACAGATTATTTGCCCCTCATTCTTCAAAGCTAGCGTTGAGTTCCTGTGCCTCAGCAGAATTCTGGA